GACCCCATCCTGCTGGTTGAGGATGTGTATTGCTCTTTGACGTACAGCGCCACACCCCCGCCTTTCCTCCCTGTTCTATCCTGCCTGTATAGCCTATAGACCCTAATGTTGACCACCCAGTTGTGGGATGAATCCTACCAGGTTTCTGTGAGCCGTACTATGTCTGGGTTTGAACTAGCTATCTGGAGGGCAAGTTCCTCCTGCTTATTCCCCATACTATGAGCATTGGTGTAGAGGCATTTAAGGCCTTGAATTGGTGTGTATGCCACCCCCTGAGTCTCAGGACTATCCTGCCCCCTGCTGCTTACCTGGGTACTCCTTGTGTATGTCACCTGTCTTGGTTGGGAGGTGTCCTCAAGTCCTCCTGTGGCCCCATGCCCCGGCAAAGCTAATTTAAAGCACGCCACAGGAGATCAGCCAATCTGGAAGAGAAGACACGCCTGCCTTTAGGAGAGAGGTGTAGCCCATCCCACCCAAGCAAGTCCCCTGCACGAAAGTATGGGTCATTATCCAGGAACCCGAGGCCTGCCTGGTGGCACCAACTCCATAACCGCCAATTGACCTCACCAATGAAGGCCTCATGTCACTGTCCACGCCTACTCACTGGGAGAATAGAGGAGAATACCACCTGTGTCCCTGTCTCCTTGAGCTTGGCCCCCAGGGCCTCAAAATCCTTTATGGTACAGTCTGGGTTGCCTCTGGCTGTGTCATTTGTTCGCACGTGGATGAGAACCATGGGATACTGGTCTGAGGGTAGAATGTAGGCTGGGATCCTCTCTGAGATGTCCTGAATCTGAGCCCCAGGCATGAAGCAGACCTCTCGTACCATGGGGTCAGGTCAGCAGATGGTACCCTCCTCTCCCCTTAGGATGGAGTCCCCGATGACGAGGACCTGGCATTTTCTTCTCCTGATGTTCTCTTTCTGCACCGTCTGTGTCTTGCATGGAGTGGCATTGCCCCTGCTGGAGGCATCCCCTTCATCCTTCTCCGTCATGGCTTCCAGGCCTAGTACCAGTTCCTCAGTTGTACCTTGGGAGCCTCCACCACGCTAGCCCAAGCAGCCCTGGATCTGGTAGATACCTTCTGCCACCTGGAGAGACCATACACTGGATGACTAGTCCTGCAGTGAACAGAAATATGAGTCAATTTCGTCCTCTGCAGCCCTGATCCCTCACAGCCTGCTCACCTCAGCCTGGAGCTCCCATACCTGCTCCTAAGCCAGGCACAGGACGGACAGGCAAGGGAACCACCAGGCCATGCCCCTCCCACTGGCTGCCGGGACCCCACTGAGTCTCTCCCACAGACAGGGGGGCAAGGGCTGCTGATCCTACCAAGAGCTCTGTCTGGGTGGAGGCCTCAGAAGAGCCCACGGCAGGTGGCACGACTGGGGTGGGGCCCCTAGCAGCTGTGCTCCGCGTCCGCGCCATGTCTGTGGAGCTGAGTCTACTACTCTCGCTTGTTGGAGGTGCCCTTTCGGGCCACTACCGCACACCCGCCTTACGCAAACGCTGGCGCGCCCTTACAGAGCGCGCCTGTTCATGTGTGCTGCCTGCATGTGGCTTATGAGTGCAGCTCCCTATTGGCTGAACTAAGAGGGATCCGAAGGGCTTCCCTTTTGAATTTGCCTCAGCTGCGCCAGCACCCTCTACCCACTTACTTTAGGGGAATCAGCTGCTGCTGCCCCTTCACTGCCGCTGCTGCTGATTGCTGCCTCCGTCGCCAAGGTAAGGGGTCACACGTGTGTGTGTGTGGTACATACGTGTGCCCTGGTCTCTCCGCTCCTGACTTGCATTCTTGATGGGCAGTTGGCTAGTTATATATATATTGGGCTAGATGAAGGGTAGCCAACCTGCAGCACACGTGTCATAAGTGGCATGGTCAGTTTGTATGTTTGGCACATGGCAGGTAGGGTAGGAGATAGAGCAGAAAGCAGAGCAGCGTATTGGTTAGAGGAAGTGATTTGAAGTGGCAGTTGGGGAGGATATGGGCCTAATTTGTGGCACACCAGACAAAAAGTTTGGTCACCACTGGGCTAGAGTATGAGACAAAGCAAGGGTGAGCATAACTTTATCTCTACATTTCAGGTGAGTGTACTAACTACTAAGCTGTTGAGTCATGTTTGCCCTTGCTCCTTCTCTGACCCAATATGTATTTAATTGTTGCAAGCAAAGTGCGACAGCTGCATGGGTAGATTATAAACTATATTGCTAGAATACCATATATCCTAGTGGCTGGGAGCTGGGATATGTGCGTTCAGTAACTAGACCTAAATGGGTGTAGGCACCTCCCTGCAGCTAACACTGAGGTAGCCAAAGTCTCAGAGAATGGTAGGTATGAAATGCCTGTCTTCAGTGATTCCTATTGGTTAATTTAGGTGGTTTCCTATTTAGCACACTTGATATTGAACTCTCTCCATGTATTTTGGGAATCTAGGTGCCTAACTATGTAGGCTGTGGATTCCACTAGTTAGCTAGTTCCTTAGGGGAATAGTGATTTTTTTCATGAACATAAAATCTTGTTTTCTGGCCATCTAGATATGCACCTCCACTTCCATGGAGTTAAACTAGTGTCAAGTTGCTAGAAAACAAGAAGCAAGTTCACAAATCCTAGTGCAATCATAACTGTGTTTGTTTGAAAAGGATTTCTAGTATGAAAAAAAAAGTCTATCAAGAATAAGGCTTTAAGAAGAGATTTAAGAAGAGATAAAAGAAGAGATTTTAAAAGTCCCAAGAGATGACATTCTGTTCCCTTTCTGATCATCTAAGTGGCATTTTTGGTCACCTACATGGTTTTTTTTTTCCCCCTCCTGATTTCTTTTTTTTTTCTCCAAATGATTATATGGTGTGAAAATGTAATTAGCAACTGTTTAACACTTAACATTTATGTAGTCTATGTGCATATTTGTTCTAGGATGTCTTGTTGCACATCTTGGCTTGTTTTAAATAACCAATTTTGGTTGTAGAACTTGAATGGAAGTTAGCAGAATCTGGAGCAATTAAAACTGACTTAGAAGAAGACCCAAAGAAGGATATTATTAATATGATGATATCTTCTATTAGAAGCACCTCTGCTCATGAAGACACCAGTAGTACAGGAAGTAATACTGATGAGACCAAGTGTTTCTTAAGTAGAATGTTTTAATGTAAGGAGTCTGCGCAGATGTTTTTGTGTTGGTCAAATAAATATTACTGATTTAATAAATCTGAAGCAATGCAGAGAGACTTGTTTTAGTTTTACATTTGCTATTTAACATTTTAGAAGAAAATTAATACTGTATAGAACTTCGGATCTAGAGACATGCTTCCATTGAAGTCAAGAGTCCTCTTTCTTGATTTCATTCAACCCCTGCTCAAATGGAATAGAGCCAGAAAGAGAGAGAACTGATTATGGCTGATTCAGAATTGCCCAGCCTCAGTGCAAGTTGGACAGGAGTAGTTCTGGCTAATACCACTGGTGTAAGGATTGGATGTAGTCACCTTCCCCAACCTTTTCACCCCAACAACTCATAGAGCAAGGGTGTGTAACAAGGAACCAAGCCCCTGTAACAAAGAATGGAGAGAAGAGGCTGGAATTGGGCCTGGCCCCTTGACCTTTTGGGTCAGCAAGGTCCAGGTGCAACGCAGTAGGCCTTACGACTGAAAGGTCCAGACAGATTAAAGCTTGCCCAGTAGAGGGAGAGAGGGCTGGATTGCCCTGCCTGAAGCAGAGAAGGCCTTGCTAGACTCTGTAAGTAGCCCTGGAGAGGGAGAAAGTTTTGTTGCAGTTTTCCTTTTTAGTATTGTACATCAGCCTGGGAAGGAAAACCTGAATGCCAGTTTCTTTTCTAAAAGAAATGAAGAGGAAGAGGCAACGTACCAGCCACCCTGCTGGCAACAAGGGAAGAGAGGCAAGGGAGGAGGGATATGTAATGGGACAGTGGCATGCAGCCAGTGGATCACGGCTCTGCCCCACGTCTGGACTATGCTGTTACCACTGCAAGATCCCAGACTTGGCCTCAAAGCAGCTCTCTGCTCAGCTGTATGCCCTGCCAGCATTTCTGGGGCCAGTCTCCATGGAAACCTTGGCCCTGTGCTTTCATGGCCCCACAGCTGCTTGGGTCTCCATGGAGATCAGCTGCAGTGACATGACAGGGCTGCTGGGAAATGGAGTCTGGCCACCAGCTGGATCCACCATTTTGCTTATCCCTTGTATAGAGGTACTTCTTGTCTGTGTTTGTATATTTTTTTAAATATTTTGTGGAGTAGAAGGTATATGATGTCTTTAAATGGAGATTGTAAAATTAAAAGCTCTGTTTCAAATAGATTCCTAGATTGTAAGGGGCTGGAAGGGACCTCAC